GTTTTTAAAAATAAGCCGAAAATTAAGCATGAGTCGAAAATGTTGTTTCTGCTTAAAAAAATTACTAAATCAAATCAAAAATTATATTATTTCGAGAAAAAACCGAAAACTCGTCAAATTAGGTCACAAATGTTGTTATTTTAGCTATTTAGCACGTTTTTCAGTTTGAAATTTACTAATTTTGCGGAATTTTATCAAAAATAATCCGAAAAATCGCCGAAAATTTGCTTTTTTTGAGAATTTTTGAACTAAAGACTTTTTTAAAGAGTTTTTGCTATGCCGGTCAAAAAAATAATAAATTTGCTTACAAGTTATCTTTTTTGAGAGTTTTAATACGTTTTCAAACAAAAACACCATTCTCTCAAGCAATTTCTTCAAAAATAAGTTGAAAAACTACCAAATTAACTCGAAATTGGTACTATTTTTGATTTTCCAACCGTTTATTTGAGCTAAAACTTAAGTTTTTTGTGAGATTCTGCGGAACAAAGCAGAAAAATTAGTGAATCAGTCTAAAGACGCCAATATTTCGAGCGTTTTAGCAACTTTTTCGCGAAATTTTGTCAAACATAATCAAAAATATCACCAAATTAGGTTGGAAATGACACACTAACTATTTTTATTTTTAGCATGTTTTTCAGTCGAAATTTTATTATTTCTCGAAATTTCGTGGAAAAAATCGCCGAACTAGACGAAAATGGTCGTATTTTTACACTTCTCGAGTGTTTAAACACGTTTCTAAATTTAAAAAATCTGTTATTTTGCAAGATTTTGCTAAATTAGGCCGAAAAAATTCTAAATTTGGTTTAGAATGACATTATTTTGTCGTTTTCAAACCTTTTAGCTCGTTTTTCAGCCAAAAACGTCATTTTTTGAGTAATTTCTTTAGGAATAAACTGAAAAATCATCAATTTACTTCGAAAATGACATAATTTGTGCATTTTTTGAGCGTTTTAGCATATTTTTCCAGCTAAAAAAGTCTATTATTTTGAGAAAAAAAAAATCTAAATTATGTCGAAAATAATGCTATTTTGTTTTTTTGAGCGATTTTGCGTGTTTATTAACCAGAAACGTAATTATTTCGTACAAATATGTCTAAAAATTCTTATATTTCGTGGAAAGTAGTGCTATTTTTGTCTCCGAGACAACTCGGCCAAAAATGAGATTATCTTCACGTTTTTTTGTCATACACTTAATTATTTCACGAAATTTTATAAAAAATAACCCGAAAAATGCCAAACTGGACGAAAATGTGTTATTTTTGCTCTTTTCAGTTTTTCACGAGAGTTTGCTTATCATGCTCAAAAAATCAACAAATTAGGACGGAAATGATATGATTTTTGCCTTTTCGAGAGTTTTAGTCCATAATTTTAGCTTTTTTATATAGTTCACTACGTTTTTCAGCTAGAAATTTATTTAATTTTCGAAATTTGGTCAAAAATAATGCAAAATTCACCAAACTGGATGCGTTTTAGCACGTTACTGACTTAAAAACTCAATTATTTTGCAAGATTTTGCCGAAAAGTCGCTGAATTGCATCGAAAACCACATTACTTGGTCTTTTTCGAGCTTTTTAGCACGTTTTTCAGCTAGAAACGCAATTGTTTGGAGAAAAATGGTATATTTTGCCTTTTTTTTTCGCGAAATAATAGTTAGGTTTTTTTGTAGAGTTTGTATTTTAAAAATTTCAGGTTGATAAAGATCAAAGAATGGGTTGACAAAAACGATCCCGGCTCGCTAATTATCCCATTTTCGGGCGCTTTCGAGCACAAACTCGTCGAAGAATATCCTGAAGCGGCTGAAAGAAAAAAATACTTGGAGGAATTGAATACAACCAGGTGAGATATTATGAGCATTTAACCCCACGCGATCTATTCAAAATCATTTCAAATGTGGTGTGGAGTTGATTGAAAGGTGACGCGAAAATTGAGTGTAATTTAATCGAAATTTTTGAAACGCCAAAAGGGAACGGCCCATCAAACTCGAATGACATATTCATTCATCGAGATTTCGAACATGTAATAACAGGTTGCAACAGATAAGTACTAAAAAAAAGGGACAGAGGCGGACTGAAATGACTTTTTTTGAAAAAATCGTCTTGAATTAGCGATTTAAAAAAAATCGGGAATCCGGCCCTGGAATTGGACTTTTCTTACATAAAATCAACGATTTCCGTGTTTGTGTCGGCGGAAAATCTATAAAAATTTATAAAATTCAATTTTTTGGTTTAAAATATATCTAAAAATTTTATTATTTTTATTTAATTAATTTTTGCAACAGATAAGTACTGAAAAAAACGGAACAGAGGCGGACTGAAATGACTTTTTTGGAAAAAATCATCTTGGATTAGCGATTTAAAAAAAAAATCGGGAATCCGACCCTGGAATTGGACTTTTCTTAAATAAAATCAACGATTTTCTCGTTTGTGTCGGCGGATAATCTATGAATATTTATAAAATTCAATTTTTTGGTTCAAAATATCTCTAAAAATTTTATTTTTATTTCATTAATTTTTTGCAACAGATAAGTACTGAAAAAAACGGAATGGAAAATGGTCGTATTTTTGCACTCCTCGAGTGTTTAAACACGTTTCTAAATTAAAAGATTTTGCTAAATTAGGCCGAAAAAAATCTAAATTGGGTCAAAAATGACATTATTTTGTCGTTTTCAAACCCTTTAGCACGTATTTTTAGCCAAAAACGTCATTTTTTAAGTAATTTCTTTAAGAATAAACTGAAAAGTCATAAATTTACGTCGAAAATGACATAATTTTTGCCTTTTTTGAGCGTTTTAGCACGTTTTTAGCTAAAAAGTCTATTATTTTAAGATTTTTTTTCAAAAATTAGATTTTGCATGTTTATTAACCAGAAACGTAATTATTTCGTAAAATTATCACAAATGTGGCCAAAAATTGTCATAT